TAAATGGCCAAGTTTAACAGATGCAAACATTTAAGTCATCCCGGGTTATGATGTAGCGTGTCTGCCTGTATTTTATGCTGATATGCATTTGGATGTGCATGCATATTTTATCAAAACGCACACCAGACTTCCACATTAACCTCACCTACACAGCCTCGCCCATTTGTAGCCATTACATATCCCTCGTGGCACGAACAGGTGAAGGAGCCGGGTGTGTTTTTGCACTCAGCCTCGCCTCGACAGGCCTGCAGGCCTGTCACAGCGGCCAAAGCGCACTCGTCAACATCTGCAAGACCCATAAGAAACACGTAAATTATGATCATACTAAAGAGGCGCTGTGAAAAAGTTCTGAAAACCTGCATCGGACATTTCTTTTTTCCCCACAAACACACACACGAATAGAAAAACACACACAGAGGTTGACGAACCCTGGCACCCCTCAGAACCCATCAGGTAACCACGGAGACAGCTACACGAGTAAGAGCCGGGGTTATTAATGCAGCTGGCATGGAGGTCACATGGTCCTGGTCTCTCTCCTTCGCACTCATCAACATCTGTCCAACAGAGATAATACGCTTAATCTAACTCAGACGCCTGCAGTTTTACATGGTGATGTCAAGCTGACAAAAATATATGAATAATATATAACACAGCACTGAAATATTAAATGCTAAAGTTTTGTAAATAAATTATACTGCAGTTAGATCAACTGGTAGCTTGTTTCTCATTACTGCTTCTGAAAATTTGCGCAGTACAGTTAAAAGTTTAAACACAACCGCGATACTAATACACATGAATATTTTCCAAGAGAGGCTAAATGAGCCTGCGTGCAATTTTGTTCACGCTACGCTAACGTAGCGTACCTTTATGTTGTGTTGCATTGCTGTAAGTGTTAAAAACTCAAAGGTGTCAAAAGCATTTTTATTTTTTTGTGATTTTCCAATTCTACAAAAAGCACTTTCTCAGTTTTGATCACTTCTCACCTTTACACTCGGCTGCTCCTTCCAAGGTGAAGCCCTTGGGGCAAGTACAGTTGTCACCATCCTTTACCATGATGGATGGACAGATGCAGACATTGCTGCTCTCATGCATCCGCTGGTTTCCTGGACACTGTGGAGCAAGGCTAGCGTTTGGGGAAGTTGTGGTGGTCAAAGGAGCTGCTAATGCAAAGAAAAAGAGGGAGCTGCTGAAAGGAAATGCTGAAATGTAAGACACAGCACAACAAAAGAGAGAAAAAATAAACACAACAAAAGTCAAAATGACCAAAAAAACTCACAGGTTGTAGGTGTGTGGCTTGGTGTTGGTGCACTGACATTTCTGCGTGCACTCTCGTTCACCAGGGTCTGCAGCAGGAAAAGGCAACAAACTGAGATTTATTTATAGTCTGATGCTGTCAGACTAACATACATGTAAGAAGCTTTCCTAAACCACTTGCCTGGCTCTTAGTGAACACTGCGTGTTTCACTAGCTTGTTGTCATTTTCCTCAGGGCTGCTCAGCGGTTCAGCCACGGACATCAGCAGCAGGCCTGCTGACAGGAGAGTCCAGAGGTGAGCCATCACCTGAATCTGTGTGGAGAGGAAGAGGAGAAGATAAGGTTACTCAGTCATCAATAAACCAGAGTTTAAAAATAGATAAAATGACACAGAGCATTTCATAGTTACTGTAAAGGTGCTCACCTATTGAAAACACACACAGACACACAGTGCGTGTCCGGGCAGGCAAAACAACAGCACGAGGGGGGAAAGAGCACTCTGTTATTAAGTTAACCCCCAAGGCTGTCTGCACTGAACAAAAGAGACTTACATCAACTGCAGTTTCACCCACAGATCACACGGAAATGTGTCTAATATAACTGAGAAGATATGTTTTGGCAGCATCTGTATTATCCCGAAACTCTTTGCGAGAACAGCTAATAGAAGGCGATCAAAACAAACGCGGGACTAACTGTTTCTGTGAGTTGGTGCGAAGCAAAAGATGCGTAAAAGTCGCGTAAATCGACGTACCTGGGTTTAGATTGACTCTTAAGCAGAGGGCTCGGGAACACTGAGATTTCCAGATGCCACAAAGAGATCCGGTTCTACAGTGTATCTTCTGCAGAGACGAGGTGCTCATGCAGACGCACGCCAGCTCTGTCAAGAATAGGGGGGCTGTGCGATCCTGCAGTGACTCCACATCCTGTCCCGGAGTTCTGCACTTCCCATTCCACAAATCCCAAATCACCGCAAACAGGCAGCAAAAGGCTGGCCTGGAGGCTGTGTCTAGGTGGCCCTGCTTTAAACCCTGGCGTGGATGTCATAAACGAGGAACAAGGGAGGCCAAATCCTTTTAGCTCAGCTTCCCTGGGCGGTTCATGCAAACACGCCAAAGTAGAATCAGACTGATCCGAGCGAAAAATGAAAGCTCAACCGCTACAGCTCACCTTATGCAAATATCAGATGGTTTAGAAATAGTTCTGTGATAACTTGGGACTGTGATAAGTGGGGTTCTCGACAAGGGGTCTAATCATTTGGCTTAACTGTAAGAAATACCCCCTACAGCAG